CCTGGACCCCTCCCCGACAGCCCCCCGCCTTCCGCACAGATCCCGCCGGGCCCGCCCGCGCCCGCCCACCTTCAGGAAGACGAGCAGGTGGGGGTCCGGCGCGGTCACGTCCCACACCTCCACCACGTCCGGCCGCGTCGTCGCCTGCTTCAGCTCCGCGATCCGCGCCAGCTGCAGCGCCTTGCGCTCCCTCTTGGTCAGCTTGGGGCCGCCCTCGCCGCCCTCATCCTCGTCGGTGTCGACGTCCGAGGTTGTCGCCTTGGGCTGGCCCGCGCCGTCGGCAGCGCCGCGCGCCTCGCCGCCCTGCGCGCGAGGCGGCGCGCGCGTGCGCGCGGCGGGCGGGCGTGCGGTTTGACGAACGCCCCGTGGGCAGGGCCGTGTGCGCGGCTCATGTGGAAAGGGCAAGCTGCCAATAATACAACATGGCGTTTGAGCGCCCCAGCTGGGCGCAGCGTCGTGGCAGCTTACTGCCTGGGTGCCCACATGCCAGCCACGGCGCGCCGTCCGCAGCGCGCTGCAGTACGCGTGCGACCCCCCACCCAGCCACACACACACGCACCTCCTCCTGCTCCCCATCCGCTGCCGCGTCGTCCTCAGTTGGCGCGAAGCGCTCCAGCACCGCTTTGAAGGCCTCAAATGGGTCCTGGACGCAGGTATGAACAATGGGGAAAGGGCGCGGCACTTGGGCGCGACGGCCACCTGAGGCCGCTCAAAGCACGTGCCTCACGCAAACAACCTCCGCAGCTGGGGGCGACGCACGCGGCCCCAAGAACGCTGGCCCACTGCGTCCCCTGGCCGCAGCACGCCGCTTGCACTGCACAAGGACGCGCAGTCCCAGCACCCACCAAAGCCGCCTTTTGCTGCTGCTGCTGCTGCCCCTCCTCGTCCTCCTGGCCGCCGCCGCCAGCGCCGAGCCCCCGCGTCGCCCCCAGGCCCAGCCCCAGGCCGCCATACGCCATCTCCTCGTCCTCATCCTCGTCCTTCGCCGCCGCGCCGCCGCCATTGCTGTCGCCACCCGCTGCCGCCGCCGCCGCGTCCCCGAAAATCGTGGCCAGGTCTACCGGCTGCGTGACGTACTCGATGACAATGTCCTCGTCATCGCCGGCCTGGTTTTGACGGTTTGACGGCGGTTTTGGGGCGTGTGAATGGGTGAATGGGGCTGGAGTAAGCTCTACGGATCCAGCGGCACGTCGTGATGCTCAGGGCTTGATGGGTTGCAGGGGGGTGCTGGTGTTCCCGCGTGAGCGAGAAACGACCTCGCGAGCGGCGGTGGGCAGGCCGCCGCGCACGGCGGCGCTTGGCAGGTAACACATCGGTGATGGCGCAGCGAAGTTCAGATAAAGAGGGCAGCTGTGCGGCAGCAGTGCCAGTGACGACAACCACTGCGCATCTGACAACTCTCAGCGCTGCTACGCTAGTGCCGCCAAATGCAGCGCCTGTTCGCGGGGCCCTGCCAGCTGCTGCTGCCTTGAGGCCCCCAGCCGAGGTCCCCAAGCCACGCACCGGCTGCGCCGCTTGCTGCTGCAATTGTTGCTGCTCTCGCTCTTGCCTGCAAGAGGGTTTGGGGTGGAACAGCATGCATGCGGTTGGATGCAGGCGCATCGCCGTGCACTTCGAGCGCAATGCTTGCCGGCCGCCACGCACGCCCGCCAGGCTCCCGCCTCACCTCAGCTGCTGCTTGTGAATCTTTGCCCGCTTTGCTCGTTCCTTTCTCTTGTCCTTTTTGGACGCCTTGGTCCCGCCATCATGCTGTTCTGCACTTGGCTGCCCGTTCTGCTGCAAACCGGTCATGCCGCCGCACGGGCGCTCTCAATCGTTTAACACTATTTTCTCAAGGGTTTGTGCGGGACGACGGGAGGTTGTAGCGGGCCAGATCGCTTGTGCTCAGATCACACTCGGGTCGTGTGTGTGCTGTGAGGTCTTAGGTTTAAGGGCTTAGAGACTGTGCTGCAAGCTTTGCCACGGCTCTTGTCGCATTTCATCCCGTTAGCACCGATGCACGAGTGCACTGCCGCGGACGGTGTGTCACACCCATGGCACCAGCTGTTGTGCTGCTTCAGACGGTCGAGTGGTCCCGCGGGCGGGTGCATTGATCATAAAAAGCGTGTTCACGCGTTATATCTACCCATCCGGCATCGAAAGCTCCAAAACTCTGTGCCTGCGCACGATCCCAAGTTGCCAACATGCTGCATCAGCGAGCGGCTCATCGGCCCTGTGGTACAGCGCCCAGCAGGAGGATCAACACACAGCTGCGGGCTCTGGGGCAGGCCGGCAAGGGCGGCAAGGATTTGCAGGAGCGGGGCAAGGCATGGCTTTCCACCATCTTGACGCGGTTCGGGCCCGCCACCGACCGTGCAACCAACATCACAACGCTGGAGTTTGAGAAGCCGCTGCTGGAGCTCGATAAGCGCATCAAGGAGGTGGGGGGCCGGGCCCAGTTTGACGCGCGTTGGCGTTATATTGCCACAGCCCGGTGCCCAGCCCGGTGCTCGCTCTGCCTAACAGGTCCGCAAGGTGGCCGAGGAGAACGGGGTGGACGTCAGCGCATCTATCGCAGAGCTGGAGACGCGCGCGCGGCAGGTGGGCTTGCGCGCTCGCTGTCAGCGGCACCGGACGCGCACAAGCTGTGATTTGCATTCACCCCACATGCCGCCTTCCTGGCTTGAGGGATCCTCCGTCCGCTTGGACGGCCGCGCACTGACGTCAATGAGCATGGCTTGCAGCAGCTGAATGAAGGGCTGCATCGCTGGGTCAGCACAGCTGCGACCCGCTGGTCCCCGCCATGGCCATCCCCCATTGCCATTGTTCCTCGCACGCCGCGGGTGCAGCCGTGCCTCGCGCCCGCCTGCGCCGCCCAAACCCCTCGCATAACCCCCTCCCCCCTTCCGCCATGCTCCTCCACCCCCCCCCCC